TTGTGTTAAAAGGTTTCAGGTGTGAATGGGGAGCAGGTGTGTTAAATTTGGTGTTATTGCTCTCACTCTCTCATACTGGTTGCTAGAAGTTGAACATGCCACTTCATGGCAAAGAACTCTCTGAGGATCTGAAAAAAAGAATTGTTGCTCTACATAAAGATGGCCTAGGCCAGTGGTGGGCAACCTTTTTTTTCAACTGAGCCAAATCTCGCCAAAACCACGATTGAAATTTATTTTGAGAGCCCCATTTTTAAAACTGAAAATACATCCCCCATATAGTAATTCATCCCCCATATAGTAATTCATCCCCCATAGTAATTCATCCCCCATAGTAATTCATCCCCCATATAGTAATTCATCCCCCATAGTAATTCATCCCCCATAGTAAGTCATCCCCCATATAGTAATTCATCCCCCATATTCATCCCCCATATAGTAATTCATCCCCCATAGTAATTCATCCCCCATAGTAATTCATCCCCCATATAGTAATTCATCCCCCATATAGTAATTCATCCCCCCTATAGTAATTCATCCCCCATATAGTAATTCATCCCCCATAGTAATTCATCCCCCATAGTAATTCATCCCCCATATAGTAATTCATCCCCCCTATAGTAATTCATCCCCCATAGTAATTAATCCCCCATATAGTAATTCATCCCCCATATAGTAATTCATCCCCCATATAGTAATTCATCCCCCATATAGTAATTCATCCCCCATAGTAATTCATCCCCCATATAGTAATTCATCCCCCATAGTAATTCATCCCCCATAGTAATTCACTCCCCATATAGTAATTCACTCCCCATATAGTAATACATCCCCCCTATAGTAATTCACCCCCCCCTATAGTAATTCATCCCCCCTATAGTAATTCATCCCCCCTATAGTAATTCATCCCCCATATAGTAATTCATCCCCCTATAGTAATTCATCCCCCATAGTAATACATCCCCCATATAGTAATACATCCCCCCTATAGTAATTCATCCCCCCTATAGTAATTCATCCCCCCCCTATAGTAATTCATCCCCCATATAGTAATTCATCCCCCATAGTAATTCATCCCCATATAGTAATACATCCCCCATATAGTAATTCATCCCCCATATAGTAATTCATCCCCCATATAGTAATACATCCCCCATATAGTAATTCATCCCCCATATAGTAATTCATCCCCCATAGTAATACATCTCCCATAGTAATTCATCCCCCATATAGTAATTCATCCCCCATATAGTAATACATCCCCCATATAGTAATTCATCCCCCATAGTAATACATCCCCCATATTGTGTCAATTCACTTACCTTTGCTCCGCGTGTTCCTCTCGCCGTGTTCCCGCGCCGTTCTGGTCTTCAGGGCGGACTGTGAGAGGAGAGGAGTTCGCCACGCTGCCCTGCCTACATCCTGGCTGCCCCGCCTACATCCTGACAGCTGCAGAGACCTGACTTTTGGGGCGGCCGCCCGAGAGGAGGGAGGGGAGGGGAGCGGGCGCCAGGCACACAGAAGAGCCGCATTTAAGTTTGTAAAGAGCCGCATGTGGCTCGCGAGCCGCGGCTTGCCGACCACTGGCCTAGGCTATAAGAAGATTGCCAAGACCCTAAAACTGAGTTGTAGCACGGTGGCCAAGACCATACAGAGGTTTAACAGGACAGGTTCCACTCAGAACAGACTTTGCAATGCTCAACCAAAGAAGTTGAGTGCACGTGCTCAGCGTCATATCTAGAGGTTGTCTTTGGGAAATGAGTGCTGCCAGCATTGCTGCAGAGGTTAAGGGGGGGGGGTCAGCCTGTCAGGGCTCAGACCATACGCCGCACACTGCATCAAATTGGTCTGCATGGCTGTCGTCCCAGAAAGAAGCCTCTTCTAAAGATGATGCATAAGAAAGCCTGCAAACAGTTTGCTGAAGACAAGCAGACTAAGGACATGGATTACTGGAACCTGTCCTGTCCTGTGGTCTGATGAGACCAAGATAAACTTATTTGGTTCAGATGGTGTCAAGCGTGTGTGGTGGCAACCAGGTGAGGAGTACAAAGACAAGTGTGTCTTGCCTACAGTCAGGCATGGTGGTGGAGTGTCATGGTCTGTGGCTGCATGAGTGCTGCTGGCACTGGGGAGCTACAGTTCATTGAGTGAACCATGAATGCCAACATGTACTGTCACAAGTTAGCTTGCAGCCTCTTGTTTATTTATTCTTACCTCCTTTCTGCTCCTGATTCCTTTCACATGTGTGGTCTGTCTGTGCTCACCTGTGGGGGTTGTCAGCTATCCTCTGGGTTTTTTTCCTTCCCTTCCATCACTTCCTGGCCCGCCTCCTAGTTTGCTTGTCTATTTAAGACATGCTCAGTCTAGCCCACTTTGCCTGAGCAACTTCCTAGTTGTTTAAGCTCCCGTGTGTTTCTGCTGTCTGAATCCTATATTGACTACTCATGTACTGACCCTGGCTTCGTTCTCTGACCTTGCTTGTTTTCTGCCTGTCCTGACCTTGGCTTCCCTATTGGATTCCGTTTGTCTTCTCCTGTTATACTCTGCTCCCGAAAACGGTCTCCTCCACCTCAGCTGGGTGTACCTGGGGGCCGCGACCTGGTCCCAGTTTGCTGCAAGTCCATCCCCACCATCAGGTGCTCTGGTAAACAAGCAGGCTGGGGCTTAGACTCCACGCCCTGGGAAACCCCAAGTTGAGGATCAATAGAGCTCACTACCACAGGTGCTGACATGTACTGTGACATACTGAAGCAGAGCATGATCCCCTCCCTTCGAAGACTGGGCCACAGGGCAGTATTCCAACATGATAACGACCCCAAACACACCTCCAAGAAGACCACTGCCTTGCTAAAGAAGCTGAGGGTAAAGGTGATGGACTGGCCTGTGACGATCGCGGCGTTAGACCCCAGCCCTTCTCACCAAACTCGTGACCGAAGGACTAGCCAATCTAAAACCGCGCTGTCACGTGCGTAACAATGCCAAGCCCAGCTGCACCCTGCACAAAGATTTTCCAGCTAATAGACCACAATCTGTGTACTTGCAGCCTGGGAGCGATTGTTACTGGGTCAGGTTAATTACGCAATTAACCCTTCACACTGCCACCACCTCCTTTTTGTACAGAGAGGAAACTCGGCAATATCAGCACTAACACTATGATGTTTGCATAAGCATCGGTATACCACTGTCACCGCAGGCAGAGATATACCGAGGTTTAAAACACACACACAGTAGCGCTCTTCAGAGACAGGGGTTCTTAGTTTGCATTAAAGAGCTTTAGAAACAGTTCAACACTTTCAGAAAGTAAGATTTATTACTTAAAGGTCAAAAGGGTGCAATAAAAATATTTACAGAAAAAGATGTAGCCAATATATACTGTATATATATATATATATATATATATATATATATAAATATACAAAGAGCAATAGCACAGCAAAGAGATAACAGAAAGGAATTTAGATAAAGTACTTGCCAAAAGCCTTGGGTTAAGCAGCTTTCAAATTTCAGAGCAAAAGGGCCGTTTCTCAGCGTTGGTTCCGATGTTACAAGGGAGAATCTTCAACTTAGCTTGACCCAGCTTAGCTTTCTACTCCAAGCATAACAGCTTTTCTAGCAACTCAGCAGGGTGTCTCCTTGAAGCAGAGAACCAATCGCCTCATTTGGGGAGGGAGATGTAGGTGGAGACCCCAGCTAGAACAAAAATCTCTCATAGCTTATATCATGGCCATAACTTACCCTCGGTGCGTTTAGCAGCCTTGCCACTAGTAGATTAGCCACTAGTAGATTAATATTCAGACGCATCTGCTGAATGTCTAGGTATGAAATATGACATACCTGTTGTGACGGTTAAGGAGATATCATTTTCTGCTTTCCTGGAGCTGACAGCTCCAATATATCTAATATATCAGGCGATTTGTATTAAAGTGAGCCATCCGAATATGTGCTCCATGTTTGTGTAATTATTTCTTATTTGGAGATATAAAATTATATTGAAAACTGGGTTTTTAAATGTAAGTCTGTTTCACAGCTAGCTGGAATGTCTTTGAACTCAGTGAAGGACTTGGTTTATGGCTTTACGATCCTTCTCCAGCAAGAGTCTCGCAGACATAGGGGGGCCAGGCTAATTGGGGTTTATAACCATGACGCCCTCCCATTGAGTTTGCTGCCTTTGATCTCTGCATTAAACAGACCACATGTCACTCAACAGAGAGAGAGGGGGGATGAGGGAAGCTGATTTGGGAGTAGAAAATGATCAAAGATGGAGGCCTTTCCAAAATGGAGGTTTGCATCCATCTCTGTGTGCACGATTGCTACATGGCCAAGTATGTCTCCAGACCTAAACCTTATTGAGCATCTGTGGGGCATCCTCAACGGAAGGTGGAGGAGTGCAAGATCTCTAACATCCACCAGCTCTGTGATGTTGTAATGGAGGAATGGTAGAGGAATCCAGTGCCAACTTGTGATGCTCTGGTGAACTCCATGCCCAAGAGAGTTAAGGCAGTGCTGGAAAATAATGGTGGGCACACAAAATATTGACACTTTGGGCCCAATTTGAAAATTTTCACTTAGGGGTGTACACACTTTTATTGCCAGCGGTTTATTTTGAGGGGACAGCAAATTTACACTGTTATACAAGCTAACTAACTACTTTACATTGTAGCAAAGTGTCATTTCTTCAGTGTTGTCACATGAAAAGATATAATAAAATATTTACAAAAATGTGAGGGGTGTATTGACTTTTGTGAGATCCTGCATGTATATATATATATATATATATATATATATATATATATATATATACACACACACACTATATTGCCAAAAGTATTGAGACACCCCTCCAAACCATTGGAGTCGTGTTTAAATCACCTCCATGGCCACAGGTGTATAAAATCAAGCAACTGGGCATGCAGACTGCTTCTACAAACATTTGTGAAAGACTGGGAGACTCTCAGAAGCTCAGTGAATTCAAGCGTGGTATCACGATAGGTTGCCACCTGTGCAATAAGTCCATCCAGGAAATTTCCTTGCTACTAAATATTCCACAATCAACTGTTAGTGGTATTATAACAAAGTGGAAGCAACTGGGAACAGAAACTCAGCCACGAAGTGGTAGGCCACGTAAAATGACAGAGCAGGGTCAATGCATGCTGAAGCGCACAGTGCGCAGAAGTTGCCAACTATCTGCAGAGTCAATAGCTAAAGATCTCCAACCCTCGTTTGGCCTTCAGATTGTGTGGCCAACAGTGCATAGAGAGCTCATGGAATGGGTTTCCATGGCCAAGCAGCTACATTCAAGCCTTACATCACCAAGTGCAATGCAAACCGTCGGATGCAGTGGTGTAAAGCACACTGCCACTGGACTCTAGAGCAGTGGAGACGTGTTCTCTGGAGTGACGAATCACGCGTCTCTGTCTGGCAATCCAATGGGTTTCCAGTGGGTGTCTGGGTTTGTCGGTTGCCAGAAGAACAGTACTTGCCTGATTGCATTGTGCCAAGTGTAAAGTTTGGTGGAGAGGGGATTTTGATGTGGGGTTGTTTTTCATGGGTTGGGTTTGGCCCCTTCGTTCCACTGAAGGGAACTGTTAAGGTGTCAGCATGCCAAGACATTTTAGACAATTTCATGCCCCCAGCTTTGTGGGAACAGTTTGGGGCCCCTTCCTGTTCCAACATGACTGCACACTAGTGCACAAAGCAAGGTCCATAAAGACATGGATGAGCGAGTTTGGGGTGGAGAAACTTAACTGACCTACACAGAGTCCTGACCTCAACCCAATAGAACACTTTTGGGATAAATTAGAGTGGAGACTGTAAGCCAGGCCTTCTCGTCTGACATCAGTGCCTGACCTCACAAATACGTTTATGGAAGAATGGTCAAACATTCCCATAGACACACTCCTAAACCTTGTGCACAGCCTTCCAAGAAGAGTTGAAGCTCTTTTAGCTGCAAAGGGTGGGCCAACTCAATATTGAACTAAGACTGGGATGCCATCAAAGTTCATGTGTGAGTAAAGGCAGGCGTCCCAATACTTTTGGCAATATAGTGTACAGTAGAAACTCGATAAAATAGAATATCGTGCAAAAGTTAATTTATTTCAGTAATGCAACTTAAAAGGTGAAACTAATATATGAGATAGACTCATTACATGCAAAGCAAGATAGTTCAAGTTTGTCATAATTGTGATGATTATGGCTTACAGCTCATGAAATCCCCAAATCCACAATCTCAGAAAATTAGAATATTACATGCAATCAATAAAACAAGGATTGTACATAGAACAATATCGGACCTCTGAAAAGTATAAGCATGCATATGTACTCAGTACTTGGTTTGGGCCCCTTTTGCAGCAATTACTGCCTCAATGTGGCGTGGCATGGAAGCTATCAGCCTGTGGCACTGCTGAGGTGTTATGGAAGACCAGGATGCTTCAATAGCGGCCTTCAGCTCTTCTGCATTGTTTGGTCTCATGTCTCTCATCTTTCTCTTGCCAATGCCCCATAGATTCTCTATGGGGTTCAGGTCAGGCGAGTTTGCTGGCCAATCAAGCACAGTAATCCCACGGTCATTGAACCAGGTTTTGGTGCTTTTGGCAGTGTGGGCAGGTGCCAAGTCCTGCTGGAAAATGAAGTCAGCATCCCCATAAAGGTCGTCTGTGGAAGTGTCAAGGTCCTACCTTTCTTCAGAGCTTGTGCATCTCCATGAGCTGGCATCCATCTTGGTTTTCTGCAAAGCATGGTGGGAACCTTTATGCCTTCAGGCTTCTGCGGCTCCTCCTCAGAAGGGTGTGGTTGAGCACATTTAAACCTGCTGTCTGCAAGTGTGCTCTGCACTTGTGTCCTGTATGTTGCCCTGTTGCAAGCTCTTGTGTTGTTCCCATTGCTCTCCTGGTAACCGACTCGGCTTGGACAAGACTACTCTCTGCGTTAACCCTTTATCTGACCTTCCGTTGCTGAACCCGGCCCGTGACCTGAGTATTCTTTGCCTACCGTCTAGTACTGTCTGCTCCGTTGTTATTGACCCGGCTTGTCTGACTACTCTACTCGTGTTCCCATCTAGCTCCCACCAGCTGTACGCCATTGGCGGCAGTCGTTATCGCAGCTGGGGTCACTCGGGGGCCGCGACCTGGTCTCAGGCTGCGTCAAGTCCATCCCCACCATCAGGGGCCCTGGTGAAGGGTAGCCTGGGGCTTAGATTCCGCGCCCTGAGGGACTCTGGTCTGTGGGTAGTGGCTGTCGTCAGTCGCAGCGTGACCGTACCATAGGCCTGCCTGCCCATTCCAGCGTTCCTGCCCTGACAGGAAGGAAGCATGAAGTGCTCCAAAATCACCTGGTAGACGGCTGTGTTGACCCTGGACTTAATGAAGCACAGTGGACCAACACCAGCAGATGACATGGCTCCCCAAATCAAAACAGACTGTGGAAACTTCACACTGGACTTCAAGCATCTTGCAGTGTGTGCCTCTCCATTCTTCCTCCCTACTCTGGGTCCTTGGTTTCCAAATGAGATACAAAAGTTGCTCTCATCAGAAAAGGGGACTTTGGACCACTGAGCAACAGACCAGGTCTTTAGCCCAGGTAAGACGCTTCTGACGTTGTTTGTTGTTCAGGAGCGGCTTGACAAAAGGAATACGACATTTGAAGCCCATGTCCAGGATCCGCTGTGTGTGGTGGCTCTTGATGCACTGACTCCAGCCTCAGTCCACTCCTTGTGAAAGTCTGCAACACTTTTGAATGGCCTTTTCCTGACAATCCTCTCCAGGCTGCGGTCATCCCTGCTGCTTGTGCACCTTTTTCTTCCACACTTTTCCCTTCCACACAACTTTCTATTAATGTGCTTTGATACAGCACTTTGGGAACATCCAACTTCTTTTGCAATTACCTTTTGAGGCTTTCCCTCCTTATGGAGGGTGTCAATGATGGTTTTCTGCACAACTGTCAGGTCAGCAGTCTTTCCCATGATTGTGATTCCTACTGAACCAGACTAAGAGACCATTTAAAGACTCAGGAACCCTTTGCAGGTGTTATGGCTTAATTAGCTGATTAGAGTGGGACACTTTGAGCCTAGAATATTGCACCTTTTCACAATATTCTAATTTTCTGAGATTGTGGATTTGGGGTTTTCATGAGCTGTAAGCCATAATCATCACAATTATGACAAATCACGGCTTGAACTATCTTGCTTTGCATATAATGAGTCCATCTCATATATTAATTTCACCTTTTAAGTTGCATTACTGAAATAAATTAACTTTTGCACAATATTCTAATTTTTTGAGTTTCACCTGTATATGCTTTTTCATGCTTACAATAAAATTCAGTAGGAAGGTGCATATTTGGTCACCTTTTTAAGACTGGCTAGCAGAGTTCTATAATATGCAAGAATTTAACATTTACTGGAATAAAAAAATACATTATTAATATCTATACTCAATTTTATAAACAAAACAATAAAAATATGGAGAAAAAAAAACACCAATTGATCCCTTTAAAGTGCATTGAGTAGAAAAAAAAAAACAGAAAAATAAGGAAAAAAGTAGTATTTCTTCAATTGGCTTTATTTTTCATTTGGTCCCTCAAATAGTCACCATAGACCAAAATTTGTATTCTTTATTTCCACCGGCAATAGATTCAAGACAACTGAATTTAATAGCTTCTAAACAGCAGTGACAATTAGAGCAATGTCAGCAATAATATCGTAGTAATGCTTTGGAGAGGATTGCTGAATCAGATGTGTCCTGTGTTCCAATTTTCCCATGACAATTTTTTTTATCAAGGAAATGTTAACTCACAATACTGATTTGCCTCTCTCCAGATTAACAGGATAGGTGAGATTAAGGTGGGAATAATCTGATCCTAAAATCATATAACTAATTTAAACTGAAATCCAAAAGAGAATGTAAAATGCATTTGACGGTCTGAGATAGATTTCCTCCATATGAACGGCTCATATTCTTTTAATCTCTATAGCAGATATCTGCTAGTTAAGCTAGCCATAGATGTGCTATATTCACCAGCAGTGATCATTGTGTTCTGCCAGCAGGGAAAGTTCCACACCAGCAGAACACAATTTAGTGTTTATGGGGGAATGGAAGCAATTTTCTTTCCTTCCACAACAGTTAGGTCATGGGAGCCTATGAAATACCTCAGGACTCCCGGATTTACCAGCCATTGTTAAGACCTCCCTTCCTTGCAGTCACCACTCGCTGACACAAGGGATCACATGACCGGACTGGAGCAGATTAAAAAATAGGTAACTATACAGATCTTTTCTTACACAGGTTAGGCAGTATAGGTAGCAGAGAGGGGGGAGGGAACTTTTTTAAGACTAGTTAGTGTTAGACTGGAATGCTACTTCAAGTAAGTGATCACTACACAGTATTATAGCCTGCTAAATGTGGATACTAGTGACTTCATCATGGTTGTAATACAACAGCACCATCTGTCCATGGTGGCACTATCCTTCCAGTGAGATTCCTGGGGACTGCAGAACAGACTTAATGTCAAGGGAATACCCTCTAGACTTTCCAGAGCATCTTCTCACTAGATTTGAGCTGCTTTACATTCCCTTGGATCTAGCTGGAAGAAATTGTTTATCACCCCACCCAGGCACCACAGTTGGAAGATGAGATAAAGTAAATATTTCATCTAAAATGTACTATTAAAGATACAAGGTGATTGTAGCCGTATTAGTGCACTCACAAAAAAAAAACAATGAAGTAGTGTCTGTGATACTTTTGTGCACTAATATCCACATTTTCACAACTCGTTTTTGGGGTATACCCCCATCTTCAAGATCAAGCAGTACTCCTGGAAATGTGGATGTAAGTAGAAATTAAAAAATTATCATGGACAGTACTCAAGGGTTTTGGTACATTTTTAGAACTACTATCATGCAGCAATTTTACATGAGTAGGGGTCTCAGGCCTAATAAGCAGTCCTTGCATTTAACTACAAGGTTCATTTTAAAGTGGAAATAAATTCTCTCAGTCAATATTTAGTATTTTTAATCTTTTATCTATTTTTCTGGCCTAGGCCAAAATTAAGTAATACATTCCATGAGTCACGGATATTTTTCTTTGATTTAGAGATGGGACTTTCTCAGCTAAGCACACCCTCCTGCCTGCATGCCTGAGCTCAAGACAAATGGATTCCAGGAAGTAAATGCTAAATGAATCATCTGCCCTTACTCAAGATGACCATGGCTAGAAATGCTAGGGGGGGGGGGTTCAAAGTGATTTCTCAACAAACTACAACATGGAGATGTGGATGGAGTTTGTGGTGCACAGATACAGTTTAGTTACTTTAAAATGCATCTAAACCCCCAAATAAGATGAATACAGTATATTGAAGGGAATACGTTTAATCTCTT